ATGGCTGTGCTGGCGAAGGCAAGCAGAAATTTAACTGACCGACTAATCTACTGTTTCCTACGACGGACCTAATAGAGAGCGACAAATATTATAATGAAATTCACTTCATAATCTTGCTAATATATCCGATATCCGTGGCGTCGGTAACAATGACAGATGAATGATAAATCAAACAGGGTTTTAGAAGAAATCTTTGAGGGATTGAGCCTCAGTCAGAATAGAGATGTATCGACAGAGTGCATTACCGACACCTCAAGCCATTCTGTTAATCACAAGAGTAAATTTTGGCTGTGAATTTCAGCGTATTTACACATTTACAAAAAAAAAACCCTCGTTTGTGTCTCCACCTTATCGTGGGGAGGGGGTTTGAGTATGCCAAGGACCCTGAGAGCTATACCAGCGGTAGCGTAGCTACTGGCAGGGCCTCCCTTGCTGGACAGGTCAAAGGGTAGGCATCAGACGAAGAGAGACACCAAAAACCAAAAACTGATGCCGGAAGCAGCGTCATCAGCAGCGACTTGAAGCACAGAGCAAATGATGCTCGAGATGGTTCAAGTTCGTATAGCAACAGGCGTGACCAGAGTGGTTTGAACGGCTGCTGTACTGCGATGTGGAAAGCAAATGGAAAAACTACCACATTATCACTTTTCCTGGATAGTCTCTTTCCAAAAACAGAGATACCATGTATGCGACCAGAAGACGAGGAAAAGACGTAAGAAGATGCTGGATGACCTTGGGGACAGAAGAGGATATTTTTATTTGAAGGAGAAAGCTCTAGATCGCATTAAGTGGAGAAACTGTTTTGTAAGAGACTGTGGACCTGTCGTGTGGCAGATTACTGATGAATGAATGAATTGGTAAGGAAATCAACTACATCCAGGGAAATGAACGAGTGTTTCGGCCTACAAATTATATTTTACTCGGACAATAAAGAGCCTACAACAATGATATCGCAATATGTGACTCGTCCGCCATCTAAAAACGTAAGGGCTTAAATATCCAGAGCTCTAGTTCCCGTTGCAGTTTCTTATGGGTGTAAAACTTGGTCTCCTACATTAAGGGAGGAACATAGACTGAGGGTGCTTCAGAACAGGGTGCTGAGGAGAATGACTGGACTTCATACGGATGAAAAAATATATACCTAGAGAAAATTACACAATGAGGAGCTTCATAACTCATATTCCTCGCCGAATATACGAGGGTTGGAACTTTAATAGTGGCAGCACTGCTGTAGAGACGCCATGCAACGGAACCAAATATTGTCGCTTATACCACACGTTAGTTACATACCTACCTTACCTCAGAGCAAATGGACTCTCCCCTCCCACATTATGCGCATGCGCAGTGACGAGAAGAACAGACCCTCATGTTACCTGGCGGTCTAATGTAGTGTTGTCACGATGTTTTCGAAACAGGAACAGCGGAGTTGGATAAATATTGAGTATGTCAGGGGCCGTACAACACGACAGTGCCATCAAGGTCTTCAAGAGGATTGCGGGGAATCTGCATTGCCTTACAGAACAGTGGCAAGGGGGGTAAAAGCCTTCAACGAGGGACGCCAAAATGTGGCAGACATGCGTCGGCCAGGTCGTTCTAGTGGCAGTGAAGAAGAATTGTATGCTCTTTCCGCGTTACTGGAGGGTGATCGACGCCATACGATTCGTGAGCTGGCCCGAGAGACAGGATTAGCGCATACGTCTGTGCTTCACATTCTGAAGGAACGCGTGGGCTTGAGAAAAATTGCATCACGATGGGTTCCGCATGATTTGACGGAAATGCAGAAATGGCTACGATACGACGCTGCTCGTAACCACTTGGAGCGCTATGAGCGCGAAGGAGAGGCTTTCTTACGCCGTATTATTACGCTGGATGAGACATGGGCCAAATCGTACGAGCCACAAATGAAACGCCAATCGAACAAATGGCGTCATTACGGGTCACCACGAAAATCAAAAGTTCGTCAGAACCCCAGCAATGTGAAAGTTATGGTGATTCTCGTGTACGACTGTGATGGTGTTATCCTAACTCATACCGTTCCCCGACAGCAGACCGTCAATGCGCAGTATTACTGTTCATTTTTGGAACACAACCTGCGACCAGCTTTGAGAAAGAAGCGGCGACACTTTCTGCAGAACCCACCCATCATTTTGCAGGACAATGCTCGGCCGCATGCAGCGCAAGCTGTGGCTGATTTGTTCGATCGATGGGGCTGGGAAGTGCTGTACCATCCACCTTACTCCCCGGACTTAAGCCCTTGTGACTTCGACTTAATTCCTAAGATGAAGGAACCACTTCGTGGGATTCGCTTCAGAACTGTTCCAGAGATTCTTCAGGCAGTAGGCCGCTCCATTCGAACTGTCAACACAACAGGCGCTGCTAAAGGTATCCTACGACTTCCACATCACTGGCAATGGACTGTACACAATGCTGGTGACTACACTGAAGGACAGTAGAACTCCGAAACTTACATCTATTTTGTATCAGTTGTAAATAAATAGTTGCCACTATTAAAGTTCCAACCCTCGTAATTAAAATGATCACATCAAGGAGGATGAAGTACGCAAGGCATGTAGCACGCATGGAAGAGAAGAAGAGCCGATACGGGACTTTTGTACGAGAAGCTGCAGGAAACACACCACTAAGAACACTTAGACGTGCATGGGAGGATCATATTAAAACGGATCTTAAAGAAAGCAGGACGGCGGGTGTGGACTGGATTCATCTGGCTCAGAAGAGGCCCGTGGCTGGCTCTTGTGAATAATATAATAAAATTTCAAGTTACACGAAATGTTGGGGTTTGGGAGCAACATTCATGTGTCGTGAAACAGTACACAGTCAGGCTCAAGACAGTGAATGCAAAGACAGAAGAGTGCAGTGGTGTTCAGTGAAACAGTACACAGTCAGGCTCAAGACAGTGAATGCAAAGACAGAAGAGTGCAGTGGTGTTCAGTGAAACAGTACACAGTCAGGCGCAAGTCAGTGAATGCAAGGACAGAAGAGTGCAGTGGTGTTCAGTGAAACAGTATGCAGTCAGGCACAAGTTAGTGAATGCAAGGACAGAAGAGTGCAGTGGTGTTCAGTGAAACAGTATGCAGTCAGGCACAAGTTAGTGAATGCAAGGACAGAAGAGTGCAGTGGTGTTCAGTGAAACAGTATGCAGTCAGGCACAAGTTAGTGAATGCAAGGACAGAAGAGTGCAGTGGTGTTCAGTGAAACAGTACTGAACTAAAACCGATATCAAGATCCTGATAAAATGGAAACAAATGTATAGTTAGTTAGTTATTTGGAGAGGGTGGGTTTCCCCATGCACTTAGACCTGTATTGGTCCACTGTGCTTCCCTCTATGATTTCTACCAGTCTCTATATCCTACCGGTACTGGTGCTTACCATCAGTCCCGCCCAGCCAGCGAGACCGGCTCTACTAGCTGAGAGGTATCTATAATGCTTCCCCCATCTACCAGAGGTATTAGAGACTGCTGTTGGGCGGGAAACGTCCGTAATTTGGCTCAGTGACCCCTTTGGAGATATGAGGATCTTTTACGTGCCGTAAAGCTACGACACGGGACCCACGGCTTGAAGTCCCTCCCGGAGGACTTGTTCCCTGAATTTTTCCGCCCTTAAAAATTCGACGACCTCCGCTGGGTATTTGAACCCGCGTACAAATAAATGTATAAAAATAACATAACATTTTTGATATATATTGCTTTTCCAATGCGTGCTATATACTCGCTCACCCAAATTCATCTTCAATCTCTGGCCGATTGTGAGCCTCTACATAACTGAACTTTCTCCAGATTCGCGTTAAGATCTTTCCATCCACTTTGCTTATAAATTCTTATATGAACACCCTCAGACACTGAATTATAGTTCACGATGAGAGACCTTGCTACTTACTCATACAAAACAAGTAAAATTATGATATTGGAAAACTAATGATTCTGAAATGAATGGCAATAAGAACTACTCTCATTGAGTCTTCTATTAAAGAACATTTTCTTCTGGTTTATGACGCTGTGATAAACAATTCCCTTTAATCTTCCATTAATATATCGAATTTCGCATTGCCACTTTAAATGTTTTAACTCTAGCACAATTTAAAATAATTTATTACCTATAATTAGGGATGAGCAAATTCTAAATCATTTCACCACAGCAGACAAAATCATCCTCCCGCCAGTCATTTCTGCAAAACACTGCGGCTGCACCACCGGAGCACCGCGTCACGTGTTCCAAATTTGTTGAGAAATGAGCAGAAGAGTGTGCGAAAACATTAATGATTCATTCATCAGTAATCTGTCAGACGACAGGTCCACAGTCTCTTCCAAAACAGTTCCTCCACTTGATGCGATCTTAAATTTTCTCCTTCAATTAAAATATCCTCTTCTATCCCCAAGGTCATCCAACATCATCTTCCGTCTTCTTCCTCTTCTTCTGGGCACTTCTATCCGCCCCTCTGGTTTGTTTTGTCTCCAAAGGAAACATCTCGCATACATGGTACCTCTGATTTTGGAAAGAGACTATCCAGGAAAAGTGATAATGTGGTAGTTTTTCCATTTGCTTTCCACATCGCAGTACAACAGCCGTTCAAACCACTCTGGTCACGCCTGTTGCTATACGAACTTGAACCATCTCGAGCATCATTTGCTCTGTGCTTCAAGTCGCTGCTGATGACGCTGCTTCCGGCATCAGTTTTTGGTTTTTGGTGTCTCTCTTCGTCTGATGCCTACCCTTTGACCTGTCCAGCAAGGGAGGCCCTGCCAGTAGCTACGCTACCACTGGTATAGCTCTCAGGGTCCTTGGCATACTCAAACTCCCTCACCACGATAAGGTGGAGACACCAACGAGGGGACATTAATGAATGGACTAATAATTCCCGGGACTCGTAGGGATAAGTGCACGATGGGGTATATGGAGCACCAACTCTATTTACGTTATAAGAACTACTTCATTTAATATTTGCATACAATTTTGAAAGAAATACGTGTACAATCAAAGCTTACCTGTTACAGTATCGCAGTGTGACTTCTACAAGGAGGGGGAGTTGGTGTAGGCACGACAGCCAGTCTTCTCCAAATGGGCAATGCAGTGTTCTCCTTGACCAGTCTGAGCTCTGACGTCCCTCCTCCGGCTGTTCTGTAGATTAACACAGGCAAGCAAAAGAATTGGATTTGGGTTTTAACCAAGGACAACACAGTGGCAACTGTATGTGCCACCTGCTTCAATTTTAAACAATCTCTCTATTTTGTCCATACAGATTGCATTTGTGTGTTCCATATGGTTCTCACAATAAACAGTGACTGTTTCTCTAAACAGCATTAACCGGTCGGGCTTTGTAGCGGAGATGTGATGTCTTTCCTGTGAGGTACGAACTGAAGGTATATAATATTTGTGTTCCATACGGTTCTCACAGTAAACAGTGAGTGTTTCCCTGCACATCATTAATTGGTTGATCTTTGTAGCGGAGACATAATGTTCTTCCTATATTATTTATTTCTTCCGTATGGTTCTCGAAATAAACAGCAGTCTTTCTCCCTGATTCGATTCCCGATAATGTAAGATTTTTCTCCTCTCAACAGCGTCTAGACTGGCTCTGGGACCCAACCAAGCCTCTTATCCATTGGGTACCGGGGGTAAAGCGGCAGAGGCGTAAAGCTGGCCACTCGCCTCCATCTAATGCCGAGTTCAAGAATGGTGGAGGTATACCTCCACTCCCCTGCATGACTTCCTAGCATAACGCTTAAGTAATTAAGCACAGGGACAACTTTGCCTTTTACCTGTGTATGGTTTAATTACATTGTGATTAGGCAGTAAACGGAAAACGTGTCACGTGGTATTTAGCTTGGCTTGATGAAGTGTTCTCATTAGAACCTCACTGTTTAATTGCGACAAATTGCACGCTCCACGCATCGCCTCCGTGGACACCGGATTACTGTTCCGCGCGCCTGAGCTGCGTGCTATGCGTGTCTAATGTGCTGATCTCCTCACAACGCCGATGAAATTTCGCGCCAGCCTTAATGCAGAATGCATTGTTTCATCTGTCGTCTCAACGCCTTTATTATACTGAAAGAAATTCGTTATTCTGAAACAAGAATTTGTAAACGAAGAATAATCCGTCGAAATCAAACGATGTTTCGAAGAAACTTTTTTTTCCTTGGCACTACAGCCCCAGTGGGCCTAGGCCTATCTCCATGAACTTCTCCGTTCACTTCGGTTTTTCTAGATCTTACACATTCGGTAGGACTCCTTGGCGGGTGATCAGCTCGTCGCAAGGCCTCTACCTGTACACAAACACAGAAAAACGCACACACGCGAACTAAATATCCATGCCATGAGTGGGATTCGAACCCACGATCCCGGTTTCGTAGCGAGCGAAGACAGTACATGCCTTCGAAGAAACATATCGCCACCAGTTTCAGGGTAGAAGAATAAGCCAAGGAAGAAACCAGAAACCAATGAGCCTACAACTAGACGGAAATGAACTCAAGCTATAGGGTGCAGTTGACTAACTAAAGATTCAACCACTTCTCTTTGTGTAGGCCTGTACGTTTGTTGTTCTTCCCGTTGAAAACTCAAAGTAAACTCTTTATTTATTATAAATTGTTCGTACATTTGTCTCCTTTTATCGTTTCTTCCGTATTAACATTCCATTTCTTTCATTAAATATTTATATCGTCATTTCTATCCCATGTCTTCCTCCATCTCCTTTGCGATAAACCACTTTAAGTAAACATCGCTCAGAAATGCTTCTGCATGAAAATAATAACGGGAAATATCATTCATGTTACGTTACTCCGCTGTTTTCCCTATTCTCACGTCCACTGTAAGCATGCAATGTTAAATTTGCATGTGTACGTATTTTCTATTTTGAAAAATAAATGTATATACAAAAAATGCCTAGGCAATACCCATCCGGCGTTCTGTAGCAGTCTTATAAACATCTTATTCTATCACAGCGGTAGCCCGCGAGTTTTTAATATGTCTCTTAACTCAATTCTAAGATTATATTATTAATATTTTGTACCTTACTACTTTACCTCTGTTTTTTTTTATAAATCTTGTATGATGTGTAGAAGTCATCTGACTACTAACTCCATCTATCAGACATTGAGAGTAACTACGTTTTCTGCGAGCCGAACACATAAACATAGATCAAACTGGCATTTACGTGTAACATAATTTCCGTCTGTTATTCATAAGTGAAAAGTCGTTCTAGCATGAACGTTCTGAAATCTCGTCAGCTGGTAAGCCCATCTGTGCAAACAGAACTCATGTCATGCTTGCAGCACATATTATTTACTTCACAGATTTAAACGGTTATGCGGTTGTAAAACTTCGTTACAGCAGAACTTACATAACGAAGCAGGAGACAGTTTTGTGGGCTGTATATTACATTCAAATAGACGCTGTCGGATGTAGCCTTAGGTTTTATGTAGCGGGCATGCGCAACCAGAATATCGTATTTATTTGAAGAAGACAGTGCTTCATAATCGGTCGGACTGAACTCTGGTGGATAGGCAGAAGTTACGCATGATGGACGCTCAGATTCTCGGGGATCTGCACTGGGGAAAAAGAAAATAATGAAGGTTGTTCTTTTCTCGCATATCCTACATCCCCCGTCATGCATCATTCGAAATCTGTATCTTTTCTATACAATGCGAGCGTCGTCGTGACATGCTGCAGCTGTGTCTGTAACCCCAGCTGGAAGATCATCAGCCCACATTGGGCTCGTTTTGTCCGCGAATTTCTTGGCATGCATTTTCCTGGACGCTGGGTTGGGCATGATGGCCCAATTCCGTGGCCGATATTATGCCGCGTGATTTCTTCCTGTAAGGATACTTTAAGGACATTGCTTACAAGGTCCCTGTGACCTCTCTCGATGAACTGAAGCTCAGAACTGTTGCTGCGATCGAAAGAGTTACACCACAAATGCTGGAGAACTCTTGGAGGGATACTGACTACCGCTTGGACACCTTATGTGCCACGAAAGGCAGCATTCTGAAGCTGTTTAGCATTTTGAAGTATTGATCCTATAGACAATAAAACTTTTTGAGTTACAGTTTCATATTCCATATGCAATTTTGTTTCATTATTTTCGGTTTGATATTATAGATCACGGAAACCCCGACAATAATTTAGAATCACCTTGTAACACCGTAGATGTAAACAGAGTGATGACATGGTAGCTCTGTGGCTGTTGGCGAAGTATCGTACAGTTTTGGGGCAAAGGGGTGAGGACACGGGGTAGCGTAGTTGGTTGAGACACTATGATACAAGCAGGAAGGTCGCGAGTTTGAGTCCCAATGAGGTGTTTTTCTTTCAATTTACCTAATCCAGCCGCACTATGGCCCTGGGGTAGACTCAGGCTCTAAGAGAAATGGGTGCCAGAAATCTTTCTGGGGGCTAAAGGGCGGCCGGCGTATAAGGCTAACAACCTCACCGTCATCTGTGAGCCGACTGTCTAGAGAAAATGTGGGAGCAAGGAAGTGGAAGCCCCAGATTCGATATTTTTTGTTTCTCTTATTATTCTTCTGACACTACTTTCCGATACACTTGTTGCCTTTGCTACTTCCACTCCTATGTTCTTCACTGTAATTGCTGGCCCAGCCTCTTTCATATACTTATATACATTACTAACAATTTATCTTGATTGTGAATGCAACACTTTTCCACTTCGTGTAGGTGGTATGTTAAAGGAGATAGGAAAAATGTACAAATATAAATAAACAGAAGAGAAAATCAACGAATAAAAATAAACAATAAAATAAAATATTGTCACTGTCACCACTTGACTGCTGGCCCAACACTGCAATGCGACGTCTCAACTATCTTTGGCCGTGGCTGGATCTCAACTGTCTTCGGCGACGGCTATCCCAATACTGACTTCTTGCTGTCTTGTTGCTGTCTTCTGTCTCTGTAGCGCTTGGTTTGTGTAGGTGTTCTGCGGACTGGGTACCAGACACCATTCCTCACTGTTTCGTTTCTACTGTCCGCTGTTACGTAACGGGCGCAACGAACTCTCCATAGTTCACTTCCGGGGAGACGCGTTCGTTGCTTCTGCATTGTCTACGCAACGGCTCCCTGTTCTCTGCGTTACCATGGAAGTGCCCATTCCAAACTCACGTGTTCGGCAATCCGTTGCCTCGGGAACGCTCCTTCGCAACGGTCTGTTTGTATTCGATTTGTCCCTGTTGGAACTCAACAATTTCCACTGTAGCCGTTGCGCGGCGATGGACGTAAGGCAACGCGTCACAATATTAATACAGTAATTACAGAATAATACACTCAAATACGACTCCTAGAGTCAAAACTTTTCAACTCGTCTGTACAAGGAAGAATGCTCTTGAGGCGACTACTCGCACTGAATGCAGACGAATGACTAATCACAACACCCCTCAACTTTCATGAATGGACCTGCCCATCCACTGCGCAGCTTTTCCTGGACTGTCAGCTCTAAGTACTAGAGCTTTAACTAGTCCAACAATTAAATACTGGCAGACCTCTATACACATACAGCCTTCCATTTTACTCTTAGAAAGGTTTCTAGAAATCTACTATCCTATTCTACTAAACCTACTGTTAGTTCCTCAGAACTCTAGCCGTGGCAGAGGGGTCATACCGTCTTCCGCAGAGCGGGGGGGGGGGAGCAGGCTTGTCAGGTTACGACCGCCGGGGTACTACCAGGTTGGAAGGTCGCGTCTT